GGGGTGATTTCTCGCTTTCTGTCTCTATGTCTCTCTTTGTCTGTCTGGCGAGTGCACGCACCCTATAGCAAAAACCTCTCAAAAAAAAAGTTAAATAAAATAATTCTTTAAAAAAATTTCAAAATAGATTACCATATGATCCAGCAATCCCACATTGGGGTATATATTTAGAAGCATAAAGAATCAGCAGATGGCATGGTGGTTAAAGGCGCTGGATTCCCACATGGCCAACTGCGGTTCAAGTTCCAGGCCTGGCGGCTTGCTTTCTCCCTTTCCCTTTCTCTCTCTCTGTTTCTTTCTTGTCAGATTAAAAAAAATAATAATAACAAATTGAATTAAATAAATCTTAAAAAAAAAAAGCATGAGAGTGGGATCTCAAAGAGGTATTACACACTCATGTTCACAGCAGCAATACTCACAATATCCAAGAGATGGAAGCAATCCAACTGTCTATCAGTGGATGAGTGGATAAACAGAATATGCTATACACAGAATGGACTATTATTCAGCCTGAAATAGGACAGAAATTCTGGTACCTGCTGTGGCATGGATTAACCTAAGGACATTATACTAAGTCAAAGAAACCAGTCACCAAAAGGCAAATACTGTGTGACTCTATTTATAAGAGGTGTCTAAAGTGTGATTATAGTCACAGAAACAAATTACAATAGTGGCTGCCAGGAGTAGGAGGAAGGGAGAAGTGAAGCATTTTTATTTAATGAGTATATTATAGAGTTTTAGTTTTGCAGAAAGGAAAAGTTCTGGAAATTGGTTGCACAACAATGTAAATGTGTTCAACACTACCCAACTGTACACTTAAAAATAGTCAAGATGATAAATGTCATGTTATGTGTTTTCTTTTTACCACAGTTAAAATTTAAAAGCTATAGGGCTTGGGACCAGCAGTTAGCCTAATGGCTGTGCCACTAGACTCCCAGATAGTCGACCGCAGTTCGCGTCCCGGACCCAGTGGCTTAAAACTCATGCTGGATGCGTATGTGTGCGTGCCCAAGATCCCGAGAGGAGAACGGAGGAGAAGGGATTGCGGCATGGCCATCCCCCCGAAGGGTGATTTCTCGCTTTCTGTCTCTCTGTCTCTCTCTCTCTGTCTATCTGGCAAGCGCACATGCCCTATAGCAAAAACCTCTCCAAAGGAAAAAAAAAAGCTATAGGGCTTAAGAAAAAAAAAAAAAGATAAATAAAGTAATTGAAAAAAAAATAGGGACCAGCAGGTGGTGTGGTGGTCAAGGGTGCTGGACTCCCACATGGCCGACCACGGTTTGAGTCTCAGACCTGGCGGGTTGCTTTCTCACTTTCTCTCTGTCCCACACTGGTGAAATTAAGGAAAAAAAATAAATAAAATAATTAAAAAAAATAGCTATAGGGGTTGGCTCCATGGCATAGAAGTAATGTGCTACTCAGTAGAAGCCAGGTCCCACGTGGCAGCCATGGCCCAGATTCCTGATCTGGTCAGCTTGGAACACACTGGGCATGTATGTGAGTTCTCAAGAGCTGATAGGCTGGAGGAATGGAGGAAGGGGATAATGGTGTGGCCAGACCCCAGAAAGGTGCTCCTTTCTTTCTCTTTCAGGTGTGTACATATGCTCTCTATCATGAATAAAGAAAAAAATTCTCATTTAAAAATAATATTGGAAAAGAGATGAACCTTCAGAATGGAGAAAAATAGTACGATTTGGGATTAGGAGTTTAAGGGGCAGGCATGTGGCGTAGTAGTTAAGGGTGCTAGACTCCCATACAGCCAACTGCGGCTCAAGTCGTGGACCTGGTGGCTTGCTTTCTCACTTTTTCTCTCTCTCTCACACTGTCCCTCCCTGGTCAAATTATAAATAAATAAATAAATAAATAGATAAAATTAAACACAAAATAATTATTTTTTAAAACGAATTATTTATTTAATTTATTTATTCATTTATTTTAATTTGACCATGAAGAGAAAGAGAGAGGGCGAAAGTGAGAAAGCAAGCCACCAGATCCAGGACTTGAACTGTGGTTGGCCATGTGGGAGTGTCCAGTGCCTTAGCCACCATGCCACCGCTGGTCCCTAAAATAATTCTTTAAAAAAAAAAGATTAAGAGTTTAAGATTTAGATAAGGAACTGAAAATATATCCCCAAGGTACTCTTTAAAGAGGCACCCACCAGGTATATTAGAACACACACCAGGTGTGTTCAGCAGATGTTTGTGTGGATACTCAAATGAGCCTCTTTAGATGGAGAAACTTTGGGTATATCCTGCATTGATTTCTCTATTTCACTTGAGATTTTGTTGTGCCCTATAATATTTTAAAGTTGTATTAGCCAGCAGAAAGAGGATTTGACCTAGAAAGATGTGGTGTCAGGATCGCTCACTTTCTTTTTCTTCATTCACTCTAGGAAAGTTGATGAGGGATCTGGAGTATAAGACAAGTGAGTATCTGAAGGGGATAGCGTACAAGATGTTTGCCTCAGACAGTAAACTCTCCCATTCCAAACTACAGCTTCCCTGTGAAACACCTTTCATATGGTTCAGTTCTTTAAATAAAAATGTCTTGGTGGTAACTAATCAATCTAAATTCTTTATCCTGAAGTTCAGATTTCAAAATCGTGAGCCTTTGAGGAAAGTATTCCCCAGCTGTAATGATTGCAGTCCTTCTCTTTTTTCTCCTCATATGTTTCATTGAGATGGCCAGTACCCTTGAAGTTCTCCCTGCACTGTTTACATTTTCTAGATAGGGGAATGAATAGTAAAATGAACACAAGGTCTAAGACAGTCTCTGTTCTGGTTCCCAAAGGAGTTTCTGACCATTGTCAGAAGAGCCCCAAATGTATGGAAAAAAAATCTCCTTTGATAACTTTTATCCTCTTATCCCTGCAGTGAGGATCATCTTGAATTCCCAGACAGCCAATGGCTACCTCTCAGTGTCACCGAATGGGAAGAGTATGCTGTTCACTGGCTTGTGGATGAACAAACACCAGCGTGGCCAGCGATTTGATCCTGAGCCTGGCGTGTTGGGCAGTAAGGGCTTCACCTGGGGCAAAGTGTACTGGGAAGTGAAAGTGGATAGGATCTGGTGGAGAACAGAGGAGGAAGAAGAAACAGTGAGATGCAGGGGTGGCACCAGAAGTGTGTTTGCCAGTAGCTGTCTTGGTGGGTTCTTAGGCATCACTGATGGGTATAGTTCTCTTAGATATAGAAATGAGAATGAAGAGTTTGAGGAGGAATGTTCTCAGGAAAATGGACTGTGGCCCAAATTCTGCCTGGTAGGAGTAGCAAGAGAGTCAGTAGTGAGAAGAGGGTTTCTCAATTTTACCCCCGAGGAGGGATTCTGGACTCTGCAGCTGTCCTCAGCTGTTGTCTATATATGTAGTAGCTCTGAGCCTTTCCAGATCCTGTCCTACTGTCCAAGGCAGATAGGAGTTGCTTTGGATTATGACGGAGGAAAGGTAACCTTTGTAAATGCTAGAACTCAAGAGTTTATCTATGAATTCTCATCTCCCTTCACTGGGAGAATTTTTCCTTTTCTATGGCTTAATTGTATGAGATCCAGACTTACACTGAGACCTTGAGAAGCTACCTCATGGCCACAGTCCTAGGTTTCTTCATTTATCCTTTATTTCTATCAGTTATTTCTTAAAGAGTCTTTGTCATATAATTTCTCCTGCCATCCTTCTTTTTTATTTGTTTGCTACAGGGTGATGTGCCTACTTGAGATAGGGAAAGTGAGAAACCACTCTCCTTCCCTGTTGGGGGATGACCATGCCACAATCCTTTCTCTTCTATTCCTCACTCAAGATTTTGGGTATACACACACACACACACACACACACACACACACACACACACACACAGTGTGACTTCTAAGCTGCTCGGTCCAGGACTTGAGGGGCGAAGTTGGCTATGTGGAAACCAGCTCTCTTAACCTCCACATCACCACATCACCTGCTGGCTCTCTTGCCATCCTTTTTTTTTTTTTTTTGGGTGGGGGGAGGTTACTGTCGAACCATAGCAATGGGTAAATGTATTGGGTTGCATAGAAAACCAGAAAATTTATGTCATGACTTTTCTGACAGCCCCATTCTCCTCTCGGGATTTTGGGCACACACGCACATGCACCTGGCGTAAGTTTAAGTCACCAGTCTGGGACTCAGACCTTGGTCGGCTACATGGGAGTCCAGTGACAGCCATTATGCTGTCTGCTGGTCCCGCTCTTATCATCCTCCTAACCATCTAGGAAAACAGTAAATAGTTTGATGCAGTTCCTACCTGATCAATCATTTCATGTTTAGATATTCTGAGACTATGTATTAGTAGAATTTATTTCTATTATATACTTGGAACTTTTTCGATAAGAAAAGGGAGGAAACCATGTAAGATTCCACATGCATTTGTTTTTGGAGATAATTTAGCCCTGAATTAAGATTTAATGTCAGTTAGTTTTGAGATAGTAAAAACAGATACTGACTTTTAAGATTTAATTAGTAGTCTTAGCTATAAGCAGCAGAAAACACATCTGGCTAATTTTAGCAGAAGAGAAATTTTTTGAACAGTATCGAAGTATGTAGAGTGTAAAGAGGGAAGGATACCTATGTCTACTTGCCTATAAATTCTGATGCTGCTACTGTGTTGCCACAAAGAACCCGAGGAGAGCTTGGTTTTAAGAGACATGGAGAAATCTTTCTGCTAGTTGCTGTATAGGAATGTTTTGTTGAAAAATATTACCAAACAATAAAAGATTTCTATAGCCCATGGTTAGAGCTGTCAATACAAGTAATTAGAAGTAGACTGCCATAAACTTGAGTACTCAGTATAGCAGCATAAAGCACTTAACCAGGTCTTTATATAATAGATATCTAAGAATTTTAATTATATATTCTGTTACCTCAATAATTACTTACTGTTACTAAAATAATTATCCCTATTATATTAGTCCATGTTTACCAGTTTAAGAGACCTACAGGACCCAAGAGAACAGGTTTCATAGGTTAAGGATATAGATGATCCAGTGGTTTTGGTTAGAAATAAATGTGAATCAAAATATAAGTGAATAGTAACAAAAAACAGGGTCAAAATTTAGCAAGACAGTAGCGAAACTCTTCAGAATCTTTTGTAAAGTTAAAGATTAATATAAATCCATTGATCAAAAATGGGGATAGCCGGGAAAGAGGATGACTTATTTTTTTATTCATTATGTTGCTAATAACAGAAATACCTGAGTCTTGGTAGATTAAGAGAGTACAGGTTTATTTACTTCATGGCTTTGGAGGTCCAAGGTCCAGGAGCCATATCTGGTGAAGGTGTGTGTGTGTGTGTGTGTTTGTGTGTTTAAACAGGTATATAACATGAAGGGCAGGAGCTTGAGCAAAGCAGAGAATGTCTGTGTCCATGTGCCTGTGCTCTGGCCTTATTGCTTTTTATAGACCCATCAGTATTCATATGAGGCCCCCCCACTCTGATAACTGTATTCAAGCATAATCACTTCTCAAAGGTTTCACCTCTAAACCCTATAGTTGGATTATGTTTTCATCCTCTTTATCCCCACTCTGATAACTGTATTCAACCCTAATCACTTCTCAAAGGTTCTACCTCTAAATCCTATAGTTGGATTATGTTTTCATCCTCTTTAATACCTTTACAGTGGCTCACAAATTTAACAAATTTGGGGAGAACATTCAAACTGTAGCAACTGACAACTACATAAGATACCTCAGCCATCTGATTTTTTAGCTTACTTGTCAGTTTGGGGTATTTTGTTGACATTTTCTCGGGATATACATCTCTCTACAATCTGGGCCCATGCATAAAGTTCATACATATACACATTTCCAAAGCTCCTGTGTCCTGTCTACCAGTTTTGTTCTTTTGCATACTTGGACATCAGCTAAATGTCTAGTCACTATAAATTTATGTAGAACCTTAACGTCAGACCATTGCTCACCTTTCAGGAAAACTGGGCAATGAGATATAGTTCTCAGGTTTCTGCCCAATGTGCTATTTTTACTTCTCTATTTTTTAGCTATAAAAAGAGAAAAGTAAAAACTCTACTTCCACAATGTTCTAGTTCATTCTGTTTCTAATAACAGAAAATAGCTGCAACTGGGTGTTTTGTTAAAATAGATTTATTGGCTCAGCCCTGTGGTTTAGTACTTACTATGCATTGGAAGCCAGATTCCACATGGTTGGCTACAGTTTGAATCCTGATGAGTGCGCACTCTGGCAATAAAAAATAGTAGAAGTTTATTCAGCCTATGGTTCAGAGATTAAAGGCCGCTAGGGGAGAAAGAGGGCCTTTCAGAGTCCCAGTCACATCATGAGGACAAGAACAAAGCAGCTGTGTCCACCACTCTGTGTTTCATGTGTGTGTCTGTTCTAGTCCTCTCCTTATAGACTCATCAAGAGTGAATCATAAGGACCCATCTAATCACTTTATCATTCCCAAAGGCCCTTCCTTTCAACCCCGTGAAGGCATTACTTTTCCTCCTAATACTTTCACAACTGATTCTCAACACATAAATTTTTTGGGAAAACAAACCATGACCTACCCTCTCCATGTTAAGTGCCTGTATCCAGAGGATTTCTGGGAGAAAGAGGGCCTTTCAGAGTCCCAGTCACATCATGAGGACAAGAACAAAGCAGCTATGTCCACCACTCTGTGTTTGTGTGTGTCTGTTCTAGTCCTATTTCTTCTCCTTATAGACTCATCAAGAGTGAATCATAAGGACCCCATCTAATCACTTTATCATTCCCAAAGGCCCTTCCTTTCAACCCTATGAAGGCATTACTTTTCCTCCTAATACTTTCACAACTGATTCTCAACACATAAATTTTTTGGGAAAACAAACCATGACCTACCCTCTCCATGTTAAGTGCCTGTATCCAGAGGATTTCTTGAGAAAGGTTCACAAAACAATTATGGAAGAAACAATTTCAGTCTTCCACAAATTCTTCGAAGAACTAGAAAAATTAGTGTTCTGTAGCTCATTTTAAGAGGTTAGCATAACTTTAAAAAAATTTTTTAAAGAGGTTTTTGCCTTAAGGCATGTGCTCTTGCCAGAGAGAGACAGACAGATACAGAGGGGAAGTGAGAAATAACCCCCCATGGGAGATGACCACACCACATTCCCTTCACCTCCACTCTCCTCCTGGGATCCTGGGCAAGCATGCCCATGCACCCAGGGTGATTTTCAAGCAACTAGTTTTCAAACTGTGGTTGGTCATGTAGGAGTCCAGCGACATAACTTTTGTGCCATCTGCTGGTCCCAGAGGTTAGCATAACCTTAGTAACAACACTCATCAAGCATTCTATAAGAGGAAGTTAGCATAACCTTAGAAACAACACTCATCAAGCATTCTATAAGAGGAAAGCAATTGGAAAATTTCCTCATGAACAAGTTTCTAAGAAAAATACTGGCACACTGAATTTTGCAATATACTTAAGGATAAACTACCTAGCACCTATTACTCTAAGACTTAACACTTGAATATTAATTAATATAATTCACTACTTAAGATGTAAGGAGAAAACTAGCAGTTTAATAGATACAGAAAAAACATTTGATAAGATTCTATATAACCTCAAGTATAAGAAAAATACATATTACAAACCAGGAATAGGAAAAAACTTCCTTTGATACAGGTTAAAAAATATACTTGAATATGAATATTTAAATGAGTATACAATGGCATATTATTCTTTGGAATATACTGCATTAAACTTAAAATTTGAGAACATTTGAAATAAATTACAAATATTTGAAAATTACTTGATTTCTTGATTTTTATTTTTTAATTTTTATTTACATTTAACCATTGTATATCTTTATAGCATACAATATGGCCTTTCAAAGTACACATTGCAGAGTCCACCCTTGGGGCCTGGGAGTAACACTGGAACTTTCGCTGCTTTATTGCCCAGTGCTCTAGCAAGAGCTGGGCTCACCCTGCCCACCAAGAGACTCAATCCTGGTCTCTGCAGGCTTCCTCTTGTGAGTCCACCCTCAAGACCTGGGAGTAACTTTGGAACTTTTGCCACTCTGTTGCCCAGGCTCTGGTGGTCTGGGCTTGTCCCTCCCACCAGAAGACTTGAGTTTGGTCTTGGCAAGCCTCCTCTTGTGAATCCATCCTTGGGCTCTGGAAGTAACTTTGGAACTGCACGCTGCACATTGCACAGCTTGAGTCTCTTCACTAAGTTATATCTCCTTAGCTTGCTATTACCTTGTCAAGAACTGACTGAATGTTTGTAGGGAAGCCATGTACCTGAAGTTACCTTGCTCTGATTTGGGAGACAGAGCCCTCCAATAGGAATGGACCTGGGAACTAAGGGTAAAGTTTCCTTTTTCAGTACTACAGAATCTACTCCAATAGGAAAAAGTACATACTGCATCAGATGAACAAAACCAGCACAGTTCTCAAACATGAGAAAATGAGGGGAGAACATATAAAAGTATTCTCATATTAAAAAAAAAAAACAAAGAATTCATCAATAGTAGACCAACTCTGCAGGAAGCACTGAGGGGAGAATGGTATCAGGATAACTAAAGAGAGAGAAATAAGAGGACAAAAACCTGAGAAAATGGCTAACAAGATGACAGGGATAAGTCCACAACTATCAATAATAAATGTTAATGGATTAAATTCTAGTAAAGACTGGCTGGTTGGATATAAAAAACAAGCCATCTGTATGCTGCTTACATGAAATACACCTCACTGACAAGGACATACATAGA